TAATTTTTCGACATTTTTTTGGTTTTTCGACTTTTCGGCTTTTCAATTTTTCGAAATTTTAATTTTTCAATGTGTAGATCTTTCAATTTTTCGATTTCCCAAAAATTCGTCATTTCATTTTTTCAATATTTCGAAATTTCAATTTATCGATTTGTTGATCTTTTAATTTCAGGATTTTTCAATTTTTGCATATTTTAATTTTAAATTTTTTTAAATTTCAGATTTTTTCTGTTTATCAATTCTTATCTTTTTAGATTTTTGATTTTTCAATTTTCCCATTTTTGGACTTTTCGATTTCTTTATTTTTCAGTCTTTAGATTTTTCGATTTTTGTGTCTCCATTTCGTTTTTTTTTTTCAGTTTCTGGATTTTTCAAATTTTCGCTTCTTCATTTTAGATTATTCCGATTGTCAATTTTTCGACTTTTTAAATTTTTTATTTTTCTGTTTCAGTTTTTCGGTTTTTAAATTTTTCAATATCTGGATTTATTGAGATTTCGATATTTCGATTTTGAATGTTCAATTTGTCGTTCTTTCGATTTATCGATCTTTTTAATTTTAAATTTTTAAATTTTTTTATTTTTTTTATTTTTTTCATTTTTCTGTTTTTAGTCTATACCGAGTTCTCAATTTGTCGACGTCTCGACTTTTCGATTTCATGATTTTAATCTTTCGATATTTTTTCGACTTTTCAGCTATTCGATTTTTCGATTTTCTAATTTTCAGTGTTTCGATTTTTCAATGTTTCGATTTTTTAATATTTCGATTTTTGTGTTTCTCAATTCTTCAAATTTTCGATTCTTCAACTTTTCTTTCTTTTCCAATTTTTCAGTATTTTACTTTTTCGATTTTTCAAATTTTCGCTGTCTTAAATATCCGATTTTTTTAATTTTAGTTTTTTCAAATTTTTTGATTTCTCGATTTTTCAAATTTTCGATGTTTCAGTTTTTAGATTTTCAAGGAATCTTAGACATATTAGAGATTTTAGTGATTATGAAGACTCCCAAGATTCCAGAGGGTCCTTTATAAATTCTAGAAATTCTAAAGAACTTAGGAATCGTAAAAACAAAGATCTCTCAAAGATACTAGGTACCACAGAAATTCTAAAAATTATAAATATTCCAGATCTACTTAGAAATTTCAGAAAATTTAATGTTCCCAGCGATGCCACAGATCCAATCTGTTCTTCTTCTTAAAATCTGTTCCCTAGATGCCAGGAAGTCCAAATTCCATTGAGATTTCCGGAATTCTTGAGATGTCTGATATACAGAGATACTTAAGAAGCTTGAGATGGTAACGATTATTGAGATTCGAAAAATATTTGATGTTTTCCAAGAAATTTTAAAGATATAAGAGATTTTAGAAATCACGAAGACTCCAAAGTTTCCAAGAAATCCAAAAATTCTAGAGATTTTAGAAATTCCTACGTCCAAGAAATCACGACCTGTTTAGAGTCATACAAATTCTTAAGAATTTAAGGATCCTAAAATTCTATAAAGTCTGGAGATTCTAAAGAACCTAGAAATCCTGGAATTTCAGAAGACTCAAAGATACTAGGTACCATAGAAATTCTAGAGATTATAACTATTCCAACGATCCAGGAATGCAATGTATTTTAAAAGCTGTTCCCTAGATGCCAGAAATTCCAAAGGCCTTTGAGATTTCTAGAATTCTTGAGATCCCTGATATACAGAAATTCTTGAATTTGATATTGTAAGGATTAAAGAGATTCAAAAAATTCTAGATATTCAGAAGTTCAGTGGATATCAGAAACTGTAGCGGTTTCAGCAACTGGACGGAAATTTTACAGATTCAGAGATTCCAGAATTTTTTAAGATACTTGTAGGGATCTTATGTATATTGGAGACTTTAGAGATCATAGAGAATCCAAAGATCAAGATCAGAAATCAAAGAACCTCGGATGTCTCAAAGATAGTAGATACCACAGAAATTCTGAAGATTATAAATATTCCAGATTCTAGTTAGAAATTTCAGAGATTTCAGTATTCCCAGCGGTATCACAGATGCAATATACTTTAAAATATGTTCCTTGAATACCAGAAACTCCAAAATTCTTTGAAATTTCTGGGAGCACTGAAACCTGTGAAAGTTCTAACTAGAATCCTTGAAATATTTACAACATTTGCGATTTCTGTGGAATTTAGTATTTTTGAGACCTCTGAGTTTCTACGATCTCTAGTTTCTTTAGAATCCTTTGAGATTTGTGAAATTCTCGTGATATCTGATATACAGAAATCCTTAAAAACTTCGAGATTGTAAGGATTATAGACATTCCAAAAGTTCTAAACATTGAGATACAGAGATTCTAGAGACATTTATAGTCATAAGACTGTAAGGATCCTAAACTTCTATAAATTCTCGAGATTCTAAAGAAACTAGAGATCGTGGAAGCTCAGAGGTCTCAAAAATACTAAATTCCACAGAAATTGCAAAGACTGTAAATTTTCCAAGGATTCTAGACAGAACTTTCAGAGATTTCAGTGCTCCCGCCAATGCCACAGATTCAATGTATTTTAAAATCTGTTATCTAGATAGATATACAGAATTTCTGGAGGAATTTGACATTCTAAGGATCATAATATTAAAATACTCCTAGGAATCTTAGATATATTAGAGATTTTAGAGATTATGAAGACTTCAAATATTCCAAAGTGTTCAAAAATTCTAAGGATTTAGAGATGTCAGAAATTCCTGTGTCCAAAAAATCATAAAAATTATTCTAAATATATTTATAGTCATAAAAATTCTTGAGATTTTAGGTCCAAAAATTCTCTAAATTCTAGAGAATCTAAAGAATCTAGAAATCCTAGATCATCAAATACCTCAAAGATACTAGCGATCACAGAAATTCTATACTTAGATCATAAATATTCCAGAATATATGTAGTTAGAAATTTCAGAGATTTCAAAATTTCCAGGGATGCCACAATTGCAATATACGTTAAAATATGTTTCCGCGATGCCAAACGATCCAAAATCCTTTGATATTTCTGGAATTCTCGAGAAATCTGATTTTCAGAGATCCTTAAAAACTTTACGATTGTAAGGATTATAGAGATTTAAAAATTCTATTCTATTGAGATACAGAGATTCTAGATAAATTTATAGTCATAAGACTTTAAAATTCTATAAGTTCTCGAGATTCTAAAGAACATAGAGATCCTAGATTCTCAGAGGACTCAAAGACCACAGAAATTCTAGAGAGTATAACTATTCCAAGGAATCTAGTTAGAGATTTCGGTTTTTTCACCGATGTTGATCTCTATATGCCAGAAATTTCAAACTTGTTCGAGAAAACCCTGAAATTCTTAATATATCTGCCACGAATATTAGAAATTGTAGCTATTGTGGCGATGAATTGGAAATTTTGAAGATTTAGGAATACCAAAAATATTTGAGAGACAGATCTTATATATATACTTGAAATTTCAGAGAATCCAAAAATTCTAAGGATTCAAAGATTCTATATATTCTTGTGTTCTAAAGATCATGGAAATTCTAGACATATTTAATATTTTCGAGAACCTAAGGAAACCAAAAATGCCAGAATCTCATAGGTCTCACGGAACCTAGATACCATAAAAATTCCAGAGATTATAAATATTACAAAAATTCCTTCTACACATCTCAGGAAAATTGTAGATTTTAGAAATATCAGTGTTTCTATGAATCTAATTTTAAAGAGAAAAAACTTTCAGATTCTAAATAATATAAAACATATTTTAACATACAAATATAGGGAAAAAATCGCTTCTTATTTAATTTGTTCGTACCTTTAAAAATACAATAGTATTTTAAGATTTTTTGAAATATTAATTTTTTTGTCTAACTTTTTTTATTTTTGTGTAAAAAAGTAAAAATTGATTAATTATTATTAATATAAATAAAAGGAGTTATTCGATTGACCATTTTCGCAAAATCACGAATCTATGCTTATTTCTACTGTATCCTTTCAAATTACAGCGAAAGTCGAATTTGGGTCCAAAATCAGCAACTTTATATCTCGATTTTCATTTTTGTTATTTTGTTCAGATGTTAAAATATATAAACAAAAGCGCTTAACTTTTCTTAAAATATTACGTTTCATATTAAGTTATCTTTGAACTTATTAAATTACCTATATATAAATTTAATTTTATCCCGGCGCCTCCACCATTTTTATACGAAAATTTAAAATTGATTCAATAGCAACTAAAGTGGGTTATTTTTCCTTGAAATTGTTTCAGAATCATGAATTGCTACCAAACGTTACTCACTGAACTTGATTCCAATTTTAATTTAATTTTATTTCAGCGCCTTTACCATTTTTATGAAAACATTGAATATATTGTCTCAGGGTCATAAATCTTCAGGATTCAAATGTCATGTTTGTGTTATTAGTTCAATTCATGACGTCATCAGAGAAAAAAATCAAAATATGAACCAGTTTATTTCCATAGAAATGCTGATGACATCAAATCAAAAGAACTCTATTAAGATTGTGTTTTCTATTATTTTCTTAAATAAAAATAATATGTGCATTTGAAGCACAATGTGTTTGTGCTCTAGTCACACAAACATCTATTTACACCACTCCTCGACCCTGCAAGCATTCTTTTCCTTATTTGAGTTATAAAATCGACAACCAATGAACACTTTTATAGCCTTTACTTTATGATTGTCTTTATTGCCTCCTCTTTTTACATTTAACGCAGCAGTTTTCGCAATATCTCCGCCGCCATCAAACGAAATTTTTCATTAAATACCCTCCGTGCAGCATTTTCCCCACACTGCACTTGCAGCTCGCCCACAAAAACGCCCACTGACGACCTCTGCAGGAACTTCAGCGTCACGTTTTCTCATATCGTACGCACCATTAAAATTCATTCGATTCCCCAGAAAATCCAATTCCCCATGAAAGTTTCTGTTATTTCCTTATTACCGCAATAACCGGTCGCGCACTTTAATATTAAAAGAATTCACGTGGCTTTTTTCATTTCAGTATTCCTGATCAACGTCCTGCGGGTAATCCTGACCATAATGCATCCGAATTCGGCGAATCCCGCCCCCATGGGAATACGACGAGCAGCCCGTGCAGCACTGATCCTCATTCCGCTGTTTGGACTTCAGCATATTTTAATACCCTTCAGGCCGGATATGTACGACCCGTACGAGCACCTGTACCAGTACGTCACAGTGGTCGTCGTCACATTACAGGTAGGATATTAAATTAAATAAAAACTTTAAATTTTTGTTTTCGATAAAATATGCAGTGTGATAATGAAATTTGTCTGGTGCTATCCATACAAAATTTAATTTTATGTTGTAACACTTAGATCTAATTTTATCTTTCAAGCTGTGACACAGTTTATAACTTTCGATTGTGCTCGGTGTCTTAATGTTTTCTTTGTAGCGGCAGCAAAAGTGACGTCAATTTTTGAATTGGAGTGGTGAGAAGGTGCCAATTAGAAAATGAAAATATTAAAATTAATTATTCGGTTCCGAAAGAGGATTTTTATTATTGGGAAATTTTCCCAAAATTACGAATTTGCACCGTTTTTTGCCGTATTTTCTCAACTGACAAAGAAAGAACGATTTTTTTATCTGAAAAATTGTTATTGTTTCAACAATTGCTATTGTTTTTGTCTTTTTATCTTCTTAATTAACACAGAATGAACAATTCTGGGGTAGAATTGTGGGAGTGAGTAAAAAGCCAATAAAGCTTAATACTGATTTTATTCAAAACAACCTAACTTATTTATACAAAACTAACTATTTACAGCCTATGAGTGGTTCTAAACTAAAGGTAATGAGAGATTTGAAATTGTATTGCGACCCAGTTTCTTGCATGTTCTTTTGTTTCATTACCGCTGCCTTCTTAACGCTGACGATGGTGCTTGTGCGGTGGTCAGTTCTGGTGCTTGCAATTCCATGTTTCAGCGTTCTACATTCTTGTAGTTGATCCTGACCTCCTTATTCGTGACGTAAAGCGGAAGTTTAAATTTTAGAAATTATTGTTTAATTTTAGGAATTAAACACAGAAAAATGCTTTTACATCTAAAACTTGAGGTTCTTTAAACAAATCAAAAAGTATCTGATTTTTTTTTTAATTTTATTTTTATCCCGGCGAATCCACCAATGTTATACAAAAAATAAAAAATACTAAAATAACTATGATTGTGTGTTATTCCTGTTTGAAATTACCTCAAGACCATAAATAAATGTTTATTTTTTCTGTATTATCTCAAATGACAAAGAAATACACGTTTGCACCAAAAAATTGTAGTTATTCAATTATGTCAAAACATTGTTAATTTATCTCAATAACTATTTTTGGTTTGACATTGTCTTTTATATTCAAAAACAGACTTATCCATTTCTAAAATATAATATTTTACGCAAATCCTTTTTAAGAATTTTTGATTTTTAATTTAATTGTTTCCCAGCACATCCGCCATTATTATACGGAAAATAAAAATCAGTACAATACCTGTGAACGTGGGTTGTTTCTGTTGGATGTTTTTTCAATATTACGAATATGTATTTATTTTTTGTCGTATCTTCTCAATTAACACAGAAAAATGCTTTTATATCTAAAACTTGAGGTTCTTTAAATAAATCAAAAAGTAGCAGATTTTTCTAGGTTTCTATTTTTTTTTTGTTTGTCATGTTATTTTATTCATATTTCAAGTTGTTTTGAAGAAGCGTACTACCACTTCGAAAATGTTATATTTGCCGAAGATATTTTTTAAGAATTTTTGAAGTACCCATTTTTTATTTTATTTTTATCCCGGCGCCACCACCAATATTATACAAAAATAAAAAATATTAAAATAACTGTGTGTATGTTATTCCTATTTGAAATTTCCTCAAGATCATAAATAAAAGTTCATTTTTTCCGTATTATCTCAATTGACAAAGAAAAACACGTTTACATCCAAAAAATTGTAGTTATTCAATTATATCAAAACATTGTTGATTTATCTCAATAACTATTCTTTGTTTGACATTGTCTTTTGTTCAAATATCAATGTATTCAAAAACACACATATCCATTTTTAAAATATACTATTTCACGCAAACCTTTTTTAAGAATTTTTTATTTTAATTTAATCCCGGCGCATCCACCATTATTATACGGAAAATATAAATCGATGCAATATCTGTGAAAGTGAGTTGTTGCTATTGGATTTTTTTTTCAAGATTACGATTATATATTTATTTTTGTCGCATCTTCTCAATTAACACAGAAAAAATGCTTTTACATCTAAAACTTGAGGTTCTTTAAACAAATCAAAAAGTAGCAGATTTTTCTGGGTTTTTATTTTTTTTTGTTTGTCATGTTATTTGATTCATTTTTCAGGATGTTTTGAAGAAACGTATGACCACTTCAGAAATATTATATTTGACGTAGATATTTCTTAATAATTTCTGCAACTGTCCATTTAATTTAATGTTTATCCCGGCGCCTCCACCAATTTTATACGAAAATAAAAATTCGTAAAATTCCGGTGAATATGGATTATTCCTGTTTTGAAATGCTCTCAAGATCATGAATAAATGGTTATTTCTGCCATATTTCCTTAATTGACAAAGATAAAACGCTTTCGTATCCAAAAAATTGCAATTTTTCTGACAGATCAAAAAATAGTTGATTTAATATCTATTCTTATTTTTTTATTTGTCATGTTATTTTATTCAAATATCAAGGTATTTAAAAAAACGTATGACCACTTCGCAAACAATATTATATTTGACGTAGATATATCTTAAGTAATTTTGAAATGGCCATTTTTAATTAAATTTTTATCCCGGCGCCCCCACCAATATTATAAAAAAAAATAAACAACTATGAATGTGGATCACTCCTATTCGAAATTTACTCAAGGTAATGAATTAACATTTATTTTTGTTGTATTTGTACAATTGACAAAGAAAAAAAAAGGTTTCATATCCAAAAAATTATAACTGTTTCAAGAGATCAAGAAACAGTTGATTTATCGAAGTCCCTATTTTTGTTTATCATGTTCTTTTATTCAAATGTCAAGATATATAAAGAAATGTATGACCACTTCGAAAACTAAACTATATTTGTTTTAAATATTTCTTAAAAAATTTTCACGTGCCCATTTTTAATTACATTTTTATCCCGGCGCCTCCACCAATTTTATACGAAAATAAAAATTCGTAAAATTCCGGTGAATGTAGATTATTCCTATTTTGAAATTCCCTCAAGGTCATGAATAAATGGTTATTTCTGCAATGTTTCCTCAATTGACAAAGAAAAAACGCTTTTACATTAAAAAAATTGCTATTGTTCCAACAGATCAAAAATAATTGGTTTATCTGGATTCCTATTTTTTTGTTTATCTTGCTATTTTAATCAAATGTCGTACTATTTATAAAAACGTATGACCATTTCGAAAATAATATTATATTTGACGCAGATATATCTTAAGTATTTTTCAAGTGCCCATTTTTAATTAATTTTTTATCCCGGCGCCTCCAGTACTATACAAAAAAATTTTTTTAACAACTATGAATATGGATTATTTCTATTTGAAATTTACTCAAGACAATGATTAAATATTTATTTTTGCAGTATTTGTCCAACTGACAAAGAAAAGATACTTTTATGTCCAAAAAATTAAAGTTGTTTCCAGAGATCAAGAAACAGTTGATTTATCTAAGTTCCTATTTTTTGTTTATTATGTTATTTTGTTCAAATGTCAAGATATATAAAGACATGTATGACCACTTCGAAAAGTAAACAATATTTGTTTTATGTATTTCTTAAAAAATTTTCAAGTGCCAAGTTTTAACTTAATTTTTATCCCGGCGCCTCCACCAATTTTATAAGAACATAAAAATTGGTAAAATTCCGGTGAATGTAGATTATTCCTATTTTGAAATTCCCTCAAGATCATAAATAAATGGTTATTTCTGCCGTATTTCCTCAATTCACAAAGAAAAAACGCTTTTATATTCAAAAAATTGCAATTTTTCCGACAGATAAAAAAATAGTTTATTTAATATTTATTTTTATTTTTTTATTTGTCATGTTATTTTATTCAATGTCAAGGTATTTAAAATAACGTATGACCACTTCGAAAATAATAGTATATTTGACGTAGATATATCTTAAGAATTTTCCAAGTGCCCATTTTTAACTAAATTTTTATCCCGGCGCCTCCAAAAATATTATACAAAAATAAAAAAAAAATTAAACAACTGTGACTGTGGATTATTCCTATTTGACATTTACTCAAGATAATGAATTAATATTTATTTTTGCTGTATTTGTACAATTGACAAAGAAAAAATTGTTTTATATCCAAAAAATTATATTTCAAGAGATCAAGAAACAGTTGATTTATCGAAGTCCCTATTTTTTGTTTATCATGTTATTTTATTCAAATCTCAAGGTATTTAAAGAAATGTATGACTACTTCGAAAACTAAATTATATTTGTTTTATATATTTCTTAAAAAAATTTCAAGTGCCCATTTTTAATTTAATTTTTATCCCGGCGCCTCCACCAATTTTATACGAAAATAAACATTCGTAAAATTTCGGTAAATGTAGATTATTCCTGTTTTGAAATTCCCTCAAGATCATGAAGACATGGTTATTTCTGGCGTATTTCCTCAATTCACAAAGGAAAAACGCTTTTATATTCAAAAAATTACAATTTTTTCGACAGATAAAAAATAGTTGATTTAATATTTATTTTTATTTTTTTATTTGTCATGTTATTTTATTCAAATGTCAAGGTATTTAAAAAAACGTATGACCACTTCGAAAATAATATAATATTTGACGTAGATATATCTTAAGTATTTTTCAAATGCCCATTTTTAATTAAATTTTTTCCCGGCGCCTCCACCAATATTATACAAAAATAAAAAAAATTTAAACAACTGTGAATGTGGATTATTCTTATTTGAAATTTACTCAAGATAATGAATACATGTTTATTTTTGTAGTATTTGTCCAATTGACAAAGAAAAAATAGTTTCATATCCAAAAAATTATAATTGTTTCAAGAGATCAAGAAACAGTTTATTTATCGAAGTCCCTATTTTTTGTTTATAAAACGCTTATATATTCAAAAAATTGCAATTCTTCAGACAGGTGAAAAAATAGTTGATTTAATATTTATTTTTATTTTTTTATTTGTCATGTTGTTTTATTCAAATGTCAAGGTATTTAAAAAA